AGTCATACGAACGTTTGACCACATGGCCTATGCTTGACTGATCGAGGTGATGGCTATCGCCACTACAGCTATTATCATCTTAATCATTATGTCTGTGGCCAATGTCTTGCATTCCTCAATTGGGCCTAGTCAGGTAGACCCACTTACTGCCTCACTGTCTACGAGTAATTTTTTTAAGTGTTTAAACATTTATGGAAGTCCCATACTTTTACGGATTCGGTTTTAATTTTATACACCTTTTATAAAACTCGGATTTTCACTTTTCTATTGAAACTATTTTCTTACATGATAATTTCAATGAAAGAAAGGGAAATTTAGAGGATGTTAATAGTTGATTTTAACAATAGTTATTAATTGAAAATTTACTGCATTTTGCGCCAAAGAATGACAATAAAATACCATTATTTATAGATAACACATTATACAAACAAGTGGAAAAGACAAATAATCAAGGAAGTCTATCACATTGGCGTCGGAAGCAAATTGAAAGTTGGGGGGGGGGGCTATGTGTAAAAAAAAAATTTTGTACCTCCGGACAAGCAAAAAAAAAAAAAAAAAAAAAGGAAAATTTCCATTTCCCAAACAATAAAAACCGAATTTCGTGTGTTGTTGTGTGTGTGTGGGGGGTGGGGGGGGGGGGGGGGGGGTAGGTTCGAACTTCAGTACCAAATATTTTTTCCCAAACACTACCACTTTCCCCCTTTTTAACATATACTAAGACATATCTGTGGAAAGTGGGGGGCTAAACCTACGAAGGTATGTTCAATGTCTATACTAAGTATATATTTGGAAAAAAAGTGGGGGGGCCCCCCAGCCCCCCCCCCCCCCCCCCCCGGTTCCGACGCCTATGTATCAAATTATGCTGACCACTTTAGCATTTATCTTACTATTTCTACTATTGCTTTAAACAAGAGGTCTTATTTCCAAAGTAAATGTGAATCTTTGAATCCAACCTATGTCCTTATTTCTTTTTTTATTTGTTTATGATTAAAGTTATAGTTGATTGGTAGATTTTGTTTCTTTCAGGGATACATGTAGATGAAAAGCTTGGACCCATTGAGTACCGAAGTTCCAGCCAAAAACGATTCACGAATACTTGAACTGTTGCTTATCCAAAGCTTTAATTACATTAAAAAGAACAACGGAGAATTAAAAAAAAAAAAAAACATGCGCGAACAAGGAAAGAGAGGGGCAAATAATACCTTTTGTGTGACAAATATCAAAGTGAAAAATAAAATATCAATTATCACGATAAAAAAATTCTTTATATTTCTTTTTAAATTAATGTGAACTTATCTTACGTTCCACAAATCGCCAAAGTAATGAAAGCAAATATGATAACACAAATATGTACACTAACACACATTTTTTTTCATATCAGTGGGTCTTCTTTTTTTCGGATAGATTATATTCACATAGTATACGTAGAGCTAAACATTCTTCGGTAAAAAAAAAAACACCCCACAGATCAAGGACCCCATATACATTAAAGATATATTTTATTATGCAACATTCGTAACTGTCGGAGAAGTATTTGAAGTTCTTTTAGTCAAGGTTCGTATCAAAAGCATGATTTAAACGCCGTAACTTGTCAAAGCGTCGTGGTTAGAGTGTTAGCCTCAAAGGAAATGGTGATATACGGTATCCTTTATTGCTTCCTTTGGAATCCAGATTATCGTATTTTTTTATTTTCGGCAGAAAATTTTTTTTTGTTATAAACAAGCTATACTTTTCAAAAATAAATATTCACAGATTGAATATGAAATTTATACATAAAAAGTTGTCGGCATTTTGCACTCCTTGTTTGTCCATCTCTTTTGGATATGATCTGAAATTTTTTTCCGAAAGGAATAAGGTCCTCATTAAGATACCCTCTAATTTTAAAGACTGGTATTACATATGCACACGAATCAGCTGCTGACATACGTTGTAGTATATATGATTGAAAAATATGATTTAAGTATTGTGTAACGATTTATGAAACTGCAGCACCTCTCACTTACATCAGGCATTGCAGTGTCATGCGCGGATTGAGAGATTTTTTTTCATGTGGAGAAAAGTTGTGGTTTCGAATCGACTCAAACAATCATCATAAAGACACACACATAAACATTTGCAAGTTGCACAAACCCGACAAAAAACTTTTTCTCCTGGGGCACGGGGGTAGGCGTGTTGCCTGGGGTAAAGGGTATGACTTGACAAGAAAAGTGTTTCATTGGCGGATCCAGAAATCTTGAAAAGGGGTGGGCCGACAAGTTTGTGGTCAGGATAGGGACCCACAGCCACACCCCTCCAAAAATTGTTTTATTAAATCTGATGTATATTTTGGACGCAAAAGGGGGCTGTCCCCTTTAAATCCACCAATAATTTATATTTTCTTCTTACTACTAGTATTTTATTTTTCCTCTGGCGCAGTGGTTAGAGCGTCTGCTCTAGAGTCCATCCTTACGTCGCGGGTTCGAATCCCACTGTCGGACATGGAGACCGGTCCTTCGGATGAGACCGTATAAACCGAGGTCCCGTGTCGCAGTAGGTGCTGGCACGAAAAAGATCCCTATCTGCTCAATGGCCCTCAATAGGACAAAATTTGCAGCTGTTGGACACCGGCAAGTGGTGGCGTCTTCATATGAGTGAAAAATTCTCGAGAGGGACGTTAAACAATATACAACCAATCAATTGATGTAAGATGAAAGGTCTTTCAATGAAAACACAGAGATATAAAACTGACTCAGATGAAATCCCAGCAGGGGCGGGTCAGGACTTCTTTACACAACCCTTAGATCCGCACATGTTAGTCACATTCCTTTGGGAACATTTGTTGGCATAAATAAAACTATTCTGATTATTCATTTTCATATTTTCCTGAACTCAGAAGTTTTTTTTAAAAAATGACACTATCAAATAGTTTTCATTTAGATGAAACAAATAGTAAACAGTGCCGAATCTCATTCTTTGAATTTGAAGAATTATTTATTTCTGGCGACATATTTGAAGAACATGTATATTTGTAAATGAGAGAGAGAGAGAGAGAGAGAGCTTTAATTAGATATTCATTTTGCACATAGATATATCATATATTTTGTGGAGGAGTATTAATGAATAATTAATGGAATGATAAACGGCCGCTATATTGGCGAGACCGGCGCTTTCTTGTGTCACGTGGTTTATATAGTTATGTTGATCGATAAGCTTTTCGCTCACGCTATAAATTGGATAATTTATTCAGGTCTATATTAATTTTCTAACAGGAAAAGGAGGAAATAAAAATATTTTTTTTCCTTGACAAGTAATAACAGTACTATATCCTTAATATTTTCACTCGGAATTCATCACTTTATTTATTTTTTTCCGTAATTCAGAATTAAAAATGTGTACTTGCAATGTGTATGGATGCCAAATACCACGAAAATTAAATGTATATCTAGACAGCTAATCATTAACATGTACAGCGGAAACAATGAAAGGCACATTTTCCTTTAAATCCTCATTCAGATTTTACCACTTAATAATTTTTCCGTACTTCAAAATTTTAAAAATATGTGCGTGTATGCTTCAACAGAAATTGTATCTGTTTTAAAGAAGTAATGATGACACAAGTGTCTGATTGATTAAACAAGCTTTATAAGAAAGAATCCTTGATTTTCTAGATTAAATTGCATATACACCTATGGAGTACAGCACAGATTAAAAGTTCTTATGATTATTATAAAAAAAATCAAAGATATTTAAAATATTAAATCTATGCATAACATATAGCTTTTCTTATACAAAAAAATTCGCTATTTTTTTTTCACAATTCTTAATCTGAGCCCAACGCTCAAATGAACTTTTCTGATAATCCTTGGGTGAATGGGGGACGGGGGGGGGGATTGAAGGTTTTTTCGATAGAAGAAGCACGCCTACTTTCAAGGGTAGAAAAAGTAAAAATCTAATGACATTCAAAAAAATTCCAATTATGACAGAAAGTTGAGACAGGCAAAAGCTACAAAAAACATATGTAGATACAAACTTTTCATAATCATCCGGGCCAGAGTATCAATCACAAATTGAAAAAGAATACACAGGAATTAATTATAAATATTTTTTCTGTAAGAACAGTAAAATCTTGAACTGTCACATAAATCCCTAGGTAGGACATGTATCGATTAAAGTTTGTTCTATTCATGACCGCTGGATTTAGAATGGGACCACAAAAGACGTTCATTTTTTTTTTCTGGAGTATATTGATTGTAGAGGGATAATAATTCAGGTGAGCATTGTGGCCCACGGCCCTCTTGTTACGAACACGGAAATGAACATTAAAATAATGACCTTCCTCTTATTATATCACGAAAAATATTGTCGGGTTTCTTATCTTTAAATCAATCGCGTCGTATAGTTATTCGTAGCATTTATTTTTTGATTTTCTTCCGTAAATATTGAATATTGAATTTTAAATGCACAGGAAACTCAAATTGGTTTTATTTCCGTGTGTGCTAATCTAGTAAATTATTTATATTAAGTTCATGTTAAAGAGGACCTCTCCCCCCCCCTCATATTGGCTAACATTTAGCAGTTCAAAATATTTTAAATACAAATTGATTTCCTAGGTATCTGAGTTTGAAGTACAAAATTCAAAATACATATTTGATAAATTATGAAAAAATCAAAATAAGGAAGACTATTTTTAGAATCAGTCAAAAAATGTTAAGTTTCTGTATCAAGAGTACTTTGAATTTAGAATTTTCTTTTCCTTTTATTTTGTTTCAAGAGCACGGTAAATTAAAATTTTAATTCCGTTTTAAAGCCATTAAAATGGTTGTGTTCACATAAAAAGAAAAATCCGCCGCTTAATTTTTCTTTTCAAGGCCGTTCCCCATTTAAACAAATGTTCACAATGAAAAATAGAAAGATCCGCTCCCTTACTTAAAGTGAAGAAGGAAACGATAACCACAGACGGAAACTGGTACTCGGCGTAATTAATATCTCAATTGTTTCCATAATATATGTATGATGTCACCTAGTCATATGAGGACATACACATGTACGTGTACATGATCATTTAGTCACCGTGTCCCCGTGCTCATCAACTGATGTTAATATAAAACCAAACAACAAAAGATACACAGGGATGGAATTATAATTTTCAAATTCTCTGAGCTGGAAAATTAGTTTCAAAACTGACAATGTCGCAAAATGTAAGTTATTGTGACGGTAACTTCGCCAACCCAGACCACGGATTTACGGTAGCTTCCGGTTTCTATATCGTTCTTGGAGTACTCGGAAACCTGACCGCCTTTGTTCTGCTCATCAAACAGTCGAAGTTCCACAACTGGAAAGTGTTTTATCGCCTGGTGTTGTTGCTGGTCAGTGCGGATCTGCTAGGGGTGGTCTTGTTTGGGAGTATCAGTGTAATCGAAAATACCGCCACAACATGGCTCGGCGGAAAAGGCTTGTGTGTCGCGGAGTCCATCATCATCATTTTCATCTCACTAACAAACTTATTAATTGTGACAGTCATTTCGCTGGAAAGATTTCTTGCTTTATGGCATCCGTATTTTTATTCCACACTAAAACACAATGCGTGTATTATGTTTGTTCCGGCAGTAATCTTATGCGTGGCCGTTGTCATGGCGATTCTGCCCGCCGTTACTGGCGACCATTTTGAAAGGATATATCCATGTGACTTCTGTTTTATCAATATCTATGGCAACAACCTTTCTGATTATATTTATGCTTTGATATATAGCATTCTTGGACTTCTTTTAATAACATTGGCGATCGTTCTGAACATTTTAGTGATTGTTGCATTGTCTCATGGTTCACGAGGTAACCCGAAACGCCAAAGTTTAATTTCCGTAAGCCATGATGGAAAGGAGCACTATTTTATGTTGTTTCAGTTATTGGCTGTTATTACAGAACTGGCTGTATGCTGGAGCCCGTTATTGGTAGGAAATGCTATTTTTAAACGTAAACAAAATTCAACATTACACACTGTAACTTTTAAATAAAAAAAAATCAGACATATTAAAAACCAAGTGTTTTGTTAAACACTAAGTAAGGAATCTTTTTTCTATGATAAATTCAAAAACATACAACACTGTTTCTTAGAAATTTGGTTTATTTTAATATAAATTCAAGGTGATATCGATAATCAAGGTCATTTTACATGTAAATATTTCTAACCAAAACGTCTTTCTTTTTTCAGATTAAATTTATCATGACCGTGACATTGAAGGAGAAGAATTTTGACGAATCACTGCTGAAAGAAAATTATTTATTTTTCCGTTTTGCGGCGTGGGTTCTTGTTTTAGACCCTTTGATATACATCATATTCAGGCGGGAAATTATCATTAACGTCTGCCTGTTTTGTAAGCGTCGGGATCACCACCATCTGACGTCATCAGACGACAAAGTGGAACGGAGATCAATGCAATCAAATTCAAATAGAGCGAGTTATGGAACTATACATTAATAATTTATATAAATGATAAATAATAGGGTTTTGGCTCACGGAATATGTATTGGAAAAGCGCTTTGATGACAAGAATTTTGGATTTCTCTTGCGCTTTATACCAGTTACCTGACTAAAGAAATAAAAAAAAAAACTTTGCGTTCATCGACTTCGCAACATTTTTTTTCTGAAGAAGATAAAATTTCTGAATTGTTCATTGTTAAATAGAGACGAAATATGATGTGAAAGTTACATACCTTTGTAAAATTTGATTTTTTTCAACCTGTGCTAAATATATCTAATTTTATTTAGTTGATTTTTCTCTCTGCATTTCAAGAAAATTGAAATTCACCAAAACTTACGTTTCATGTATGTAAATTGTTCTTTAAATTTTCATGAATAGAAAAAATATCTAAAAAAATTATTTCAGATCTAAAACTTTAGGAAAGTCAAAAACTCTAGGGTCAGATTGGGGGGAAACATATGGCGATAAAGACACATTCAAGCTCTTAAGGTAGGATTCTTCTTTGGTTTCTGAGTAGATGAAATATTCAATGTATATTTGTTTATATGTCTTATATATTTAGGTGAAAGAGATTAAAAAGACTATATCTTTCTTTCCTCGTCACAATTGTACAACTTTAAATAGAAAGGGTCAATTGTGTTTGAAAACTAGCAGGGACTATATTTTTGGCGGAATGGTGGCGTATGAAAATATCTTCTTTTCTGCCTCTCAAAATAATTATAGAACTATGAATTTAGCTATAATTTTTACACAATCAAAGACTAGAAGAATTTTTCAAATGTTAGCTAAATTAGTAATAAGGAACTAAAGTTTTAATATATATCAAATAAATATGAATTTCCAAACAAACTACAATTATGCTAGCTTTTAAAAGTTTCGACTCTAAGTACAGATTTGAGCCAAAAATCCATAGAAAGTGTTTTTACTCTCTTAGGCCATACCAATTTCTAATATAGTTCGTCGGATTCACCGCTTCTATTTATTACAAATGCAAATTATGATATTAAAAAAAAAATGTCCGCGCGCGCTTCCAAGAAAAGCCGACTACAATTTTTTTTTGCACCAAACACACAAGAACTTTGAAACTTGTATGACAGATGCGCGGGATTCATAGTGAGATTGAAGCAGTTTGTGAAGTTTTGCACCATGTCTGTTCATATGTACCAGGGGTGTGCAACTAGCAACCCCTGACGCCCAGGGCTAACATTTTTGGGGGTCGGGATAGTGGTTTTCTAAAAGGAGGTAGCCCGTCGGGCTAGTAAAAAATATAACTACACACGCAATACATGAAAAGCACAACCGGTATTTTAACTCGTTTTTGGCTATAAAATTCCCAACCAGTTTACATTTTCCAGACAACAATAATCCTACTGTCAATAAATCTCCATAATCTTATCCGTTTTGCAGAACTACCTGACTTATTTACTTCCAAAAACGATCGTTTTTTCCTAATCCGAAATTCCTCCGTTTATGGTAAATACATGCAGCTACATGTATATCTTTAAATTATTTACGATCACTCAATCAACTGAAAGATAAGTGTTTTGTGACTCACATAAAATACATTTCTTTTGTTTTGAATGATTTAAGATGAAAACAAAATGAATTTAATTTCATTCTAAATGAGCTAGTGCAATGATCAGAGAAAGGGAAGATAATTTATTGAAGTTCATTTTAACTTTATTTCATAATATTTAAACATGACTGAATTTGATTTTGAGAATTAAAACTTTGACTTTAAAAAGAATGACCTCAGTACCCTGACTTTTATCAGCAATTAATTTCTTTTGCAACATTATTTTATAGTTCAATTATTTTAATTTTTGCCCCTGTATTTGGGCTAGTAACTTTGCATTTGCCACTAGCCTGTGGGCTAGTACTTAATATTTTTAATTGCACAACACTGTGTACTATAGTTAAAAACAATGGGTACAAAGTTGTTTCATACACAGCAAAAGAATTGGAAGCAGAGGAGATGTTTGAAAACATTACATTTATGAAAGTAAAGTCTTTGAAATTTGACACATTTTTGCAAATCCCCAAAAAGTTAAGAATGATAAGTTCATGTGGTATGCAAATTATATCTATCTTTATTTTTTTAGGTTCACGCATTTTGAAATAACACTTTATTAAAAAAAATATATATATATATGTATAATTTATATTCGCTCGCCTCATAATTATGAAACCCAAAATAAAAAATAATATTAATAAAAAAATTTCGCTCGCTCGCCTCACTTTTTATTTTTGAAAATCCGAAGAACTATTTTACAAATTGGTATGGCCTTACTAAACGGTCAAAACTTTTTGTTTTTGTATCATTTTGTATCTCTATATGACTGCTTTACCATATGTTAAAATAAGAAAAAGTTAAATATAGGGCGCATATGAAAATAACTTAAATATCCTAAAAAAATTCAGAAAAACAGAGAAAATTCGGATTAGCCAAAATCCATTTTTGTTAAACTGTTTGTGTCAATTTGGTAATATCATCTTATAGACCCTATATGGTAATATCTTTTTATGCAAAAAGAAAAACGTTTATTCTTTTGAAATAGAAGACCCTATATCATGATTGGATGCTTTTATTTTTATTCTTAATGACAAGGGAAAAGGTTATGACCTTGACCTGACCTTGACTCTAATATAAAACGGTCAAAACTAATCTAACTAATACCATCACTTAGAAATATTGTCTTCTTTGTTCTGTGAAAATTTCATTAATTTTTAAATACAAGAAATACAGTTTTGTGTGAGAAGAATCCTACCTTAAGTCCATAAAACAGTACAAAAAAGGAGCAGAGCAAACATTGACCTCCAAGACATCAAAGGTGGGAACTAATATAATGATAAAATTATCAAATACTAGGTAATAGCTTTAAGGACAACTTTAAGGTATAACAGTGGGACGGACAACTTTGGAATGGACATTTTTCCGAACTTGCGCACCCTTTTCCTTTAAAGCTAGCCTCTTGGAATTTTTTTTAAATGGTGGGGTTTTTCTACCTAAATGAATTTCTGAAATAAAAAAAGCAACATTTTCTGCTAGTTTTTGAGATATTTAGTGTCAAAAGTAAAAATCCCATGGGGAAACATGTACTTAAAATTACCCCATGAAAAACCCCACAAAAACCCCATGGGGTTCAAAATTTCCCCCATGGGGAAAATAAACCCATAGAACTTTTTGTTGGGTTTTTAACCCCATATATGACTAAAAATAATATGTGGAGTTTTTTTCCCCACATTTTTTCTACATGGGGTAAAAAATCCCATAGAATGTTCTTTATTTATCTTTATTTTTATGAAATCTGGATAATGGATGCATTATATTATTGTCAATTGCCTTTTTTTTCAAAGTTACTGATCGAGACAAGTCTGTTTTATTGTTAAAAAAATTCTGTGTTTTTTCCCCACACCCTAGCACTTGTATAATTCCCAAAAGTACTTATATAAAATATACATAATATAATTAACATGTTTAATGTTACAATATATATCTTTAACTTCTCTGAATGATTATTATTATAATGGCAGCTACTAAAATAATTAATTAATTAATCCAAGATATTAACTTCATAATTCTGACAGTGTTTTAACATGTCTTTCAATTAAAGTTGTATCAAAGTCACATTTATAAGATTTGTACTTCTGTTATTGTGTTTGATACAGTAATATTTCATTATTTGTTTACATGTAACATAGCATGGCATGCTTTAAAGCCTTCCTAACACTTGTTTCTGCACAGCACACGATGATACTAAGAATAAAATGTATTTCTTTTTATTTACACCTGTAAGGTGTCTGTTGCAAGGTGAATTTACCCAAGGCTCATACAGCTATACATGCACTAGCTGTACCTGTTGATATAGGCTTAACTTTGACCATTTACTCACTTGCTAGTTGCTTCACTTTGTGTTGAGATGATAATGGACTAATTCAAGCATGTTAAACCAATATCTCAATGAAATGAATATAAATGAGACTAAATTGATTTAAATGTACGTGAATTAATCCTTAAAGTTTAGTCTTTAGATCAATATTATTGACTCAAATCTGATCAAATCACCAAATTCTTCTGTTGAGTTCTTGCATCTCTGTTGCGACAATGCATCAAAGAATGTATTATTTTACTACGATTACAAAGCGCAGTTGAGATCTCGAGGATTTACAGTCAACTCGTACATAAACCAAGTCGTAATTAAAGTATAGTTTTCTTCACTGTAAAAAAATTGAGGAGTCAACTCCTACACAAAGGTTTTTCTTTATGCCTCTGATTTTTCCTATACTATTATGCGCAGATTGTTTTTGTTTTTCCCGGTGTAGTTAAATCTGAGGCATCAACTCCTACATATTTTAATATTGTAAAGTAAATATATTTTATATTTTAGACAACTATAAATTTGATTTCTAATTGTTAAACATCACTGCAACAAGATATGTTTGTAAATTTTACATTTTAACATTAGTCTTCTTTTCGTAAATTAATGCAAGTAATATATGTGGATATAAATGTAACTTAATTGATATAATGCAGATAAGAAAGTTATCTTATAAAATATTTCAACAAAAAAAAATATTCAAAATTGGCTAAATATCATTGAAAAAAAAAGAAGAAAAAGAAATGGACATTTAAAGGCAGAGAAATTTTACCTGGTGGTATTTTTATTCCAGGTGAGGTAGGGGCTAATTTTGTACAGGTGTGATTGCCTTGGTGCTAGCAGTCTACCTATAAATGGATGTACACAGTGAAATACCCTAGGTGTCAAACTTTATACCTGTGATAGGGATTTTGAGACAACTTTGAATAATTAGTAGAAAGATTTCTCAAGTATTAAAATGTTGAATTATTTTTTAATGTTTAAAAACACTCCTATCCATTAAAAAAAGTTATATATCATAATATAAACTGCCTTTATGAGAACACACCAGTATGACTGTTTGAGCATGACCTGATGATGGATTCTCCCTATGAAAATTTCAGTCCTTTAATATTTACAAATTATAATTTCAGATTTAGAAAGATGATGCTTTTAAAAGAAAAAAAAATTCATATTTGCCAAATTTCATTGAAAAATGACCATTTAAGAGAACTGCATGAATACATCGGTACGATCGACTGACTGAATATAGCCTGGTGATGGATTCTCCCTATGTAAATTTCAGTTCTGTTACAATTTATCATGTAAGATTTACAAAGTTTATGCCATTGCAAGAAAAATAAAACCAAACCTGCCAAATTTCATTGAAAGAGAAAAAAGTTATGACCATTTAAAGGCAGAGATTTTTTACCGGGTGGTAAATTCCAGGTGAGGGAGGGGCTTATTTTGTACAGGTGTGAATGCTTTGGGGGCTAGCAGTCTACCTGTGGCCATCTGTCCCTATACACAGGAAGTGATTTAATACACAGTGAAATACCCAGATGTCAAACTTTACCTGTGTTGGGGATTTTGAGACAATTTAAAATTAGTAGTAAAAAGTTGTTTTCAATTATATATTGATTTATTTTTTACGGTACTGTTTGAAACACCCGAACTCATTAAAAAAAATTATTATTTTATCATATTATAAATTCAAATATTAAAACAAAGATTGTTTTAGATGTTTTAATGTATGTGTTAATTGAAAAAAAAAACGACTCCTGTAACAACCAAATTAGACTTATTAATAATTCATTCAACCCCAGGAATACATTCTTACACTCGATCTTAGTTTAATCTGCTGAAGAATGATCCGTTAAAGAGATGGAAACTCATCAACTTTAGATCTGATTCATAAGATTACAATGCATATGTTACGTGGAGGAAAATGACATGCAGTGATTTTTTGTAAATTGAATTGCATTACATACCTTTTGAAAAAGCATTGATCTAAAATCATGTCACAAAAGGGTAATTTGCAAACTTTACACTAGGGTATATATGGGGGTATATATGTTAAGTTAAAGCGAAAAAAGACCCCATAATTTATTTATATAGGTAAAAAAAAATTGATGATTCACACAAACACATTCATAGATACATAGATGCAAAATCGGGAACAACATAAAGATTGAATTCTTAATTTTTGAATGACACCAATCCTATAACAGAATCTGGCCGTGTCGACAAATTGATAACAGTGCAATAGTTTTTATAGTTAATTAATTTTCCTATAAAGATGTGATCAGAAGGCTAATAGGAGAAATCGTTCACTGTCGACCCGTCACACCCTCCGTGAGCCCTATGTTTTGATCAGTTGTTTGTGCTACATGTATTTACAATAATTATTTTATCTTCTACAACGCTTTTGGTTTGGGGGGGGGGGGGGGGGGGGAGGTAATTAAGAGAATTTGAATTTTCAAATGTATTGCAACATAAATGCAAAACTACCCTTTCTGTTAAAAAAAAACATTTAGATATTTTGTACTTACAATTGAACCTTGGACTTAAATCTAAAAACTGTAAAATGTTATTACTATATGTAAAGGAATCGTGGAATTTATATAGCGTCCTTGCCCATTATCATAGATCATTAGAAAGTCTCTTGAAAATTCAATAAGCGTGAAATAAATAAACATACATGTAACACATCAAGCAAAGAAGATTTATTAACCTGAAAAATGCATACCATGTTCTTTCTGGACGAACATTTGTGTGGAAGGTAAACTCAGATTATTTTCTTAAAACGCAGATGAAGAAAATTATTTTGAAAACATTTAAAGTTAACTATTATAAAAGACTGTCAAAATGTGAACTAATTAATCACAAAATGGAATTAACTGTGTTGATCTTATCTGGATATTTTTTCTATGAGTGTGGAGGACTACAAAGTAAGTGATTATCAAAGTATAATATCATGTGTTGCTTGGTTCCCTAGCCTATCCATAATGAGTCGGTCGCCTAAGTGGCGATGTTGTACATGTAAGAACGTCTGCTCTAGAGTCATGGGTTAAAAATTGATTCGTATGACAGATTCGAATCCCTTTAAATCCCTTTAAGTGACCAGACCAGGTCTTTATACGCAGCCCTCCCCGGTAAGTTGTGTGTTTCAAATTCTAAGATTGACTTTTGACGAACAAAAATGTGCCGAGACTGCATCGCCCCGGATCCATTATAGTCCATCAGGTCCTAGTGCCATTAAGTGTACTTTAATCTGTATACTAGCTTGGGTCTGCTTTTTTATGTTTTGAAAATAAATTTTCGTCTAGGAATTTTATGATTTTTAAAGAGGTCGGAAATACGGATAAAATGCACTCTCTTGTAGGAGAACGTGTTGCAGATACTCTGCAGAAAAATAGAAGACGTAAATTCTGTGGAAGACATTTAACTTTTTTAAATGATTCTTTAATGCATTGATTCTCCATAAAGTTTTTATCAGTGCATTAAATTGAATGATAAAGCAAGAGAATGATTTAGCGCTATGGTAATTACATGCTAATTTTCGAACCTTGAACTTGCTCTTCTATGTTCAACAGGACCCGTAAACATTTTTAAACGATGCGGAAAAACACTGAGTTTAACAAACTTAATACAATTTGTGAGAGTGACCCTATATCATCACGTTTTTAGCAAAGGCAGTCTAGATTTCTGCAAATTTTCAGTCTTTGAAAAAGATAAAATTATTCTTGAATGAAATGTTTTCAGCATTAAATTATTACTTAAATGTAATGATATTATGGCTCATTAGTTTAACTTGATTTTAAATAATTATGATCGAACCTATTCAATATGTGATTTCAATTCATGGCTCATCTTTTACAAGTCAAAATCTTCATTCTAGCTCACATTAGTCATAGAATGAAATTTCACATTTGACAGTTGTCGACTCATTTTCTATAAAATGTAAGAAAATGAAGACGTACTGAGTATAGTGCATTTAAGAGGAAAGTTAAGATTCGATATCTTTCATGACAAGTATTGTGGCGAGATGCTTTAACCTCCTTCAAAGTTTAAATTGTTTTCGATAAATTTACAAAAAAAAAAAAAAAAAAAAAAATTATACACTTTTTACCATTTTTTTCAGTTTCTCTTTCAAATCAGTATTATGGAAACGTAAAAATAGACGGAAGTTTTGTTTGTGGTGGAGAGAATGTTTTCTCATACAAAGAGGCCACCATGCTATGTCGCCATCTTGGATTTTCTGGAGGCGTACCATTGCCGAGTGGCAAGATGGAGGTATCGTTTCCAATCGGAATAAAGTGTTCTGGCAACGAATCTTCCATAACTCAGTGCAATACCTCGAGTTTACTTTGTCCGTCCGCCAGTGCGTGGGAAGAAGAAAAGACTGGAGTAGCACGAATTTTGTGCTATGAAAATGGCGGGGAAAGTGGTATATAACCATGATGATATGCATGTTTATCTAGATAAACATTTTGGAGGGAGGGGGTCAAATTTATTTTTATATACATCCAATTTATGTACGTGTATATTACTTTTACAGAAGGAAAAGTGAATCTTAAATCAGGTTTTGGTCGGGTGACAGTTAGTCAGTTTGGACTTAGTGCTTCCGTTTGCGCAGACTCGTGGACAGACACAGAGGCTTTCGTTACGTGCAAAATGTTTGGATTTAAAAGTATTTAAATATCAATTTCTACCTAAGCTTATAATACTGATTTAATACTACAGATAAGAAAATTAATTTCAAAAGAAATGCTAACAATTTAAGTGTTATTAAAATTGTAAGCGGTTATTAATTAAATGCTTAGTGTATTTTACCTTCTATTTTAGATGGAATAGCGTTTGATATAAACAAGAGTGCTCGAGATGAATTCGTACTCTTTGGTAAAGTCACGTGTTTCGGCAATGAGTCGTCCTTTTTCGACTGTTACTCACAGGGCACGGAATGCAGGGAATCGTACGCTGTGAATGCAGGGGTTCTTTGTTACAACAAATATGGTAACTCTTCCGTTCTGTTCTAAATCAATATTACATAAGAAAATAGTTTGTTTTTAAAGACATATAAATGTAAACATGTACCGAGTTTGACTGCTGATATATTTCCTAAAAGGGCATTAACAATCAGCATTCAAAAATAGCAAAAGCCGACTTGAATGCTGATCTATGAAATTTAGTTTGCTGTTGTATAATCAATTGCAATTATCGTCCTTTAAAAAAAATATATATTTATATTCATATCTATTTTAGCACCATACATTCAGTTCAATGGAGAACTCGGACTGTACGAAGTCGTGATTGACAACTACACCGTGATGTATTGCTCGCAGACGCACTTCTATCCTCCAAGTGCGCACGCGCCACATACAGACAACCCTAATAATGCTATACCGTGCGGAAACATCGTTATTTTAGATCACAAAATAAGAAAAACGCAAGTATTCAAAAATTAAAAGAAAATCTTAAAATATTATATCCTTTGGAGAAAGCACATTATGAATAGAAAGTAATTTGTCAAAAGAACATAAAAAAAATTATCTAACCGTCATTTAGGTTTTAAAAAACTGAGAACACTTTGAAAAATAATTTTCTCTGCCGAATAACTCAGGCTTAATAAAATAAACGTTTATTTTGTGTTTACCGGGTAAAACTGCATATCAATGCATAGGATTGTATAAATACATGTACATTTTATTTTTCAAATTAGAGGAAATTTAAAATATTTTTCCATTCTCCTTATTTCTACATTTTTGAACAGAATTTTGTTTTTTAAAAAGTAAGAGAGTCAAAGTTTTATTGAAACAGTGTACTTTTTAATTTTGCTTTTGGATAGGAAATAATAATTTTTTTTAATTTACAATAGAGCTGACAGCACGGGAGTATCTTTCCCTCAGAGAAAACTCTGCAAAGCACAAGCGACGCCCAGATATAATTGTATAGGAGGCTGGAGATACAGTTCCGAATGGAAAAAGAAACATCCCGAAAGTTTTATGTGCGGGAAACCTTGGGTTTCCTCGGGAACATTGTTTACATGCTAATATTACGCAATTACTTTAAAACATATGATGGAAAGTAAATTTACATACACGTATTCATAATGCATATTTTTAAAACTAAAACTTCGCTATGTTGTGTATAATTTGGTTACTGTAATATCACATATTTTCGTAGGGTCAATTTTTCGTAGTTTTAGTAAAAACTCTTGGTTCGTGGAGATTTGAATTCGTGGATGAAGAATTGTTGAGTAGTTATGTATTTGAGTATTTAACATTCCTGGTGGATATAAATTCGTGGGTCTCTTCATACATCGAAAATTAAACCCCCACGAAAATTTTTGATTCCAAAGTACTCTCCTTTTTTTTCTTCAAATTTTTAATCTTTGGTAATTATGATAATTGTTATTTTTAAAAAGTATGTGCAACATTAAGTTTTCATACCGTGTCCATTTGCATAAAAGCATGATACAGAAGATTACATTTTGTGTATAGATCATTTTTTAAATGAACAACAAACCATTTTAGATGTTTTATAATTTTTTTTTAAGTTTAGCTTCTTTAATATAAGATTACCTCCTACATGTCAAATATCCACAATATTCACCAAATGGGAAACAACATATTAAAAAAACAGTACTAGTGGTGTCTTCTAGTCATCATTTGGGAAGAACGGAACTCTGTGCCGTATGATATTGCTCCATACCAAGGATTTTTCCATTTACGTGACCCATAAACTCCATTTAAATAGACGTTAGGACAGGTACCGAACCACCATCCCCCCTCCGTGTAATCACGGAAACAACCAAGTGAGCGCTGGGAAGAGTGATCCGGGGTCTTGAACGTTTGGTTATTGTGAGACCTTTTAAACTCAAATCCTACAATAAGATAAAATAGACTGTGAAAAAAGTTTACACTTTCGAGATAAGTAAGATTTCTGGTGGTTCCTGTTTGTGGATCGAAGTTGTCGGAATTTTTTAAATGAAATTGACAATTAATTGTGGTAAACAAGAAAATTTAGATGTTATTAATATTGTAAATCAGATGAGGATCCTCAAATCTCTCAAGTTTAAAGTAACCAAATATTTCAAAAGTCTAAAGCACCACGGTTTTTCTACACAACTCCTCACGATGAACCTTTTTTAAAAAAACATTAAAGACAGCTGCTTCTTATTGAAGCTCTAAACACTAAGAGAAACTATTTCTTTGGAAAGGGAGAAAAATAAATCATATAAAGGTGTGCATATTAAGACTTTTTCATTCAATTATAACATAGGGTACGTGCCTTATTTCTGCAGGAAAAATATTCAAAGGCAATGGACTGTTTGTGAGTAGAAATCATTGCTGTTTACACTGGGAAAATTAATGAAAATAATTCATTAAATTTCTTATTTTTTGTCTTATATAATGCTAAAGATATTTTAATCTATTACAAATGATGTAATTAACCATGAATAACTAGTTTTTAATTCTTTCATATGAGACAGATCACTCTAACTCCATAAAACTACCCTATAAGTAGAGCTCTTTAGTTTGCGGTGTTTAGAACTTCCTCTAATAAAGACGCATTTCGGAAATTTTCCCATCTATCACCTGGTTATGGTTTATGTCTTCCAAAAGCTTGCTCTCAGTACCATTGATTTCTAAAGCAAGACATGCTACTCATTGTTAGATTAATGTTAGAAGAATTTCAACAACCTCTTTTATTTAAAGTTTGTATTTCGTAAATTCTATGGTCATAATAAGGACTCTGCTAGCAAAATTTAATATACCGGGTAACCTATCATTGAGTTAGTCCATTCCGTTTACCAAATCAACAAACGGCATATGAAAATCTTCATTAATATCGTTAGTTCCCTGGTAATTCTTCTTTACAAACACATATTTACTCAAAAGTATTGTATTTTTAAAATCTGAAAAAAATATATCATTTTTCAAATTCTTTCGATTTAAATACTTAATTAAAAAGACGAAATATACTCAGTATTTCACTTATTTTGTATACATGTGATTCCCGCAATAATCATATATTTCACATGTTGATAAAAACCAAAATAAAATGTCAACAGATAATACCATTGCAACATCAGCATTTGTGTTCAATGTTTTGAAACAATAATAACTCAATTTCCTGAGTAAGAAGATTAAAATCGTTGTCGGTTCTTGTAAAAAAAAAAGAAAAACGAAAACATTCGTTGCAACCTTGATGTCATGAAATTTATTGCATAGACAAATGAAGTATATATCGTTTATTGGTAATTTCAGTTAAGTGTGAAGTTTTGCATTACATGACAATCTTTGATGACAGCTGCGCTCAAGGTAAATAATACACGTCTCCTAACCGCAAGCTTTACGACTGGAAGTTTCTTCTACTCCGATCCCTGATTGGTTGCTCGTGCAACAGACTACATGTATTTCCGTGTCAATGTTAGTAATATGAGTTGACCAATCACACAGCGGCGGCTGAATTGTTTACGCTGGATGCATCTGTCCAAAAAGATCGTGACGTTATGCAAAACTTCACATTTAACTAAAATGACTAAATAACACGTCACCTGCTGTTCCACTGGAGTAAGATCCCAGATGTAATCTATATTCATCGTCAGCGCCACTGATCCGGAAGTCCGAGTAATACTGGAAGAAATGGCTTCCATTTGTGTTTTGTAACTTTACGTATAGTGAAGATGAATTGAGAGTTAATGCATGCAATGCATCGTTTCCTAGGTTAGAAAAAATATATAGATATACATGTACATTTACCAGAGAGAGAGAGAGAGAGAGAGAGAGAGAGAGAGAGAGAGAGAGAGAGAGAGAGAGAGAGAGAGAGAGAGAGAGAGAGAGAGAGAGAGAGAGAGAGAGAGAGAGAGAGAGAGAGAGAGAGAGAGAGAGAGAGAGAGAGAGAGAGAGAGAGAGAGAGAGAGAGAGAGAGAGAGAGAGAGAGAGAGAGAGAGAGAGAGAGAGAGAGAGAGAGAGAGAGAGAGAGAGAGAGAGAGAGAGAGAGAGAGAGAGAGAGAGAGAGAGAGAGAGAGAGAGAGAGAGAGAGAGAGAGAGAGAGAGAGAGAGAGAGAGAGAGAGAGAGAGAGAGAGAGAGAGAGAGAGAGAGAGAGAGAGAGAGAGAGAGAGAGAGAGAGAGAGAGAGAGAGAGAGAGAGAGAGAGAGAGAGAGAGAGAGAGAGAGAGAGAGAGAGAGAGAGAGAGAGAGAGAGAGAGAGAGAGAGAGAGAGAGAGAGAGAGAGAGAGAGAGAGAGAGAGAGAGAGAGAGAGAGAGAGAGAGAGAGAGAGAGAGAGAGAGAGAGAGAGAGAGAGAGAGAGAGAGAGAGAGAGAGAGAGAGAGAGAGAGAGAGAGAGAGAGAGAGAGAGAGAGAGAGAGAGAGAGAGAGAGAGAGAGAGAGAGAGAGAGAGAGAGAGAGAGAGAGAGAGAGAGAGAGAGAGAGAGAGAGAGAGAGAGAGAGAGAGAGAGAGAGAGAGAGAGAGAGAGAGAGAGAGATTTCTGTGCAACCGAAAGATCAACATTTTCTTTAATCTTACTATCTAAGATCACCTTTGTGAGGTCTTTCCTGTGTAACGATGTTCATAGCTAATTGAACAAATCCAATTCTTAATATTTCGTAACATCGATGTGTGACACAATGTTTAAAAATCGTTTTCTTTCTAAAGAATTTTATGGAAACACGTTCAAAATTCTTCGAGTACAGTGTATCAAAAATCAAAGTATTTTTTAAAGAAGTCTAACGATTTGTCAAAATAACTCAATTATTCAACTCAACATCAAATAGGCTAAAAAGTTTACTCATCTACCTTAAAGACAGAATCTAAATTTTACCTAACCAATATTCAGTATACGCGTTCCCAAATCCATGCTGATATTCTGTCCAGTTCCTTGAAAAACTAAAGTATCCATTAATCCGCTTTTGAAAGACCTGCACACAAAAAAATCTATTTATTTTATTGTAAACCAGTCGTTTCAATCAATCTTAAATATACTTATATTACATTGCTGTCTAAATCTGGTTTGTTTCCTATTCAGTTGAGACATTTTCGAAACCAAGCTAATTTCTGTCCGGTTTCTAAATGGTTAAAGACACAAAGATACAGTAATCCTTTTTGAAAACTACTTGTTTTCCTTAAAATAACAATTTCTTTGCTAATCACCTGAGTGTACAGATTACCATATACATTGTCTATGAAATAGGTAATTGTTAGTTTCTTTAACAAAAAATTCTATAATAAATAGTTAACTATAGTTTACTATAGTTAACTATAGTTTACTATAGTTAAATATAGTTTACTATAGTTAACTATAGTTTACTGTAGTTAACTATAGTTTACTATAGTAAATCAATAGTATACTATAGTAAATTTTAAAATATGTCAAAGTGTTCACTATAGTAAATCAAAGTTTTCAAAGGGATCACTATAGTGTCAAAGTTATCACTCTAGTTAATTAAAGTTTTCAAAATTATCACGATAGTAAAATAAAAGTTTTCTATAGTAAATCAAAGTTTCCATAGGTATCACCAAGGTTAATCAAAGTTTTCATAGTTACATGTATCACTTCAGTAAATCAAAGTCTCAAAGTGTTCACTATAGTAAATCAAAGTGTCAAAGTGTTCACTATAGTAAATCAAAGTGTCAAAGTGTTCACTATAGTAAATCAAAGTGTCAAAGTGTTCACTATAGTAAATCAAAGTGTCAAAGTGTTCACTATAGTAAATCAAAGTGTCAAAGTGTTCACTATAGTAAATCAAAGTGTCAAAGTGTTCACTATAGTAAATCAAAGTGTCAAAGTGTTCACTATAATAAATCAAAGTCTCAAAGTGTTCACTATAGTAAATCAAAGTGTCAAAGTGTTCACTATAGTAAATCAAAGTGTCAAAGTGTTCACTATAGTAAATCAAAGTGTCAAAGTGTTCACTATAGTAAATCAAAGTGTCAAAGTGTTCACTATAGTAAATAAAAGTCTCAAAGTGTCCACTATAGTAAATCAAAGTCTCAAAATGTTCACTATAGTAAATCAAAGTGTCAAAGTGTTCACTAAAGTAAATCAAACTTTTCATAGTGTCAAACTGTTCACTATAGTTAACAATAAACTATAATGAACTATAGTATATTTTAGGGTTACTTGATTATTCTGTCAGTGACTTTACTCGTGATGTTCTGGTGACCTGAGACTGTGTCTTTGGTAAAATCGTCGCAATGACTTTAAAGGGACATGGACACAGTTTGAACTGATTTTTTAAAACCAATCTTATTTTTTACATTAACTAACGCATCATCTAGTGATTAGCAAAAGATATGAACATCATTTGTTGATTAAACAAGAGGCCCATGGGCCACATCGCTCACCTGAGAAGCTTTGACCATTCCCTTCTTTACCAGATTTCCCCCTTGTAATACATATTGTGACCCCACCCTACCCAACTGATCATAATTCACACAATTTGAAATCTACACTACCACAGGATGATTTGATTCAACATTGTTAAACTTTGCTTCCCCATTGTGGTCCCGCCCTACCCCCGGGGGTCATGATTAGAACAATTTAGAATCTACACTACCCAGGATGCTTCCACATAAGTTTCAGTTTTTCTGGCCTAGTATTTCTTGAGAAGAAAATTTTTAAAGATTTTCCCTATATATTGCTATGTAAAACTTTGATTCCCCATTGTGGCCTACCCAACCCCCGGGGGTCATGATTTGAACAATTTAGAATCTACATTACCCCGGGATGCTTCCACATAAGTTTCAGCTTTTCTGGCCCAGTGGTTCTTGAGTAGAAAATTTTCAAAGATTTTTCCTATAAATTTCTATGTAAAACTTTGATTCCACATTGTGGCCCCGCCCTACCTTTAGGGGTCATGATTTGAACAATTTAAAATCTGCACTAACCTACAGTTCTTCCACGTAAGTTTCAGCTTTTTTGGCCCAGTGGTTATTGAGAAGAAGATTTTTAAAGATTTTTCCTATATATTTCTATGTAAAAATTTGATTCCCCATTGTGGCCCCGCCCAACACCCGGGGGTCATGATTTGAACAATTTAGAATCTACACTACTCCAGGATGCTTCCACATAACTTTCAGCTTTTCTGGCCTAGTGGTTCTTGAGGAAAAGTTTTTAAAAGATTTTTCCGATATATTTCTATGTAAAACTTTGATTCCCCCTTGTGGCCCCGACCTATCCCCGGGGGTCATGATTTTTACAATTTAGAATCTACACTACCCCAGAATACTTCCACATAAGTTTCAGTTTTTCTGGCCCAGTGGTTCTTGAGAAGAAGATTTTTTAATGACCTCACCCTATTTTTGTCTTTTTTGATTATCTCCCCTTTTTGGGAGACTTGGCCCTTCATTTTGGCAATTTTAATTTCCCTTTACCCAAGGATGCTTTGTACAAAGTTTGGTAAAAATTGGCCGAGTGGTTCTTGAGAAGAAGTCGAAAATGTGAAAAGTCTACAGACGGACAGACAGATAGATGGACGGACGGACGGACGACGGAGAAAATGTGATCAGAATAGCTCACTTGAGCCTTTGGCTCAGGTGAGGTAAAATCGAGATACAGAACTTAAAGATCTTCGTAATGTAAACAAGGCTCGTGCCTTGTTTTTGTTTACATATAGAAATTATCATATTCATAACAAAATGACATTCAGCAAACCTCTAGAAATTGCCCAATCGTATTTAGAATTACTTCTTTATTGAAAATAGTTGATTTGAATGAATATAAATTAATATATTAGCCTATGTAAACAAAAACATGACACGGACCCTGTGTACAAAATAAGTTTGTTCTAAATCTGCCTTGTATCTCGTGGACTGAAATTCAAATTTTTTATGATCATTAGAAATACTGAGTACCTTAGTTAAATATTTGTAAATATCGAAAAATAAATTTTAGTTGAAACTGTGTCCTATAATTATGCTTTATTTTATTGTGTATGTCTTTATGAATTTAATGAATTTTTTTTTTACTTTTGAATACTTTGTTACCATACTCACGTCTGTTATAGCTGATTTACCAAATATTTTTTCATGCATAAAAAACACCAGGCATTCATTTTTTGGAAACAGTCATTGTAATTTGCAATTGTTTGCATTACCGCAAAAGCTAACTCTGAGGCGCTTAACATGTCCAAAAAATGCAAAAATTAAAACTTTAAGACATCTTGCCACGGTAACCGTTACCCGTAGCATCCAATTTGCCCAATTTTAGTTTAGGGTATCAAATACTTTTAGTAAATATCATAGAGAGTTTGGAGATATTCTGAGACTATGCGTGCAACAACTAATGTATGAAATTTCAAGTCATTACAGAGAATGGCTTTTAAAACATAATTTTCGAAATTATTACCTTGACCTTTTACTTTTTGACCTCAAAATCAGAAGGGGTATTTCGGAGAAGCACAACTCGTGAATTAAGATTACTCGTTTTTATTGTTATGGTGGTAGAATCTATGTAAAAGCTCTTGATGAACTTTCCATTCACAAATTATTATTCTCATGATTTGACATAAAAATACCTTTCGCAATAATAATTACTCGCGAAAAATAAGGAATCCACAGTACCATATGTGCAAATTGAAAAATTCGTTGAAAGGCTTACAGAATGGTTGTTAACTTAGTCAGATTTTGGATTCCCAACCCAAAGCATATCACATACATGGGACATCGTTGGCGGTAGTAGTTAGTCATGTTTTAATGTACATGCATACGGTATATGGAATTCACGATTTTGTGAATATTAAATCTGTTTTCAATTAAGTCTTATCTGTTGACTGAAGTGCATATGTCGAGAAACATTTGTTAAAAAAGCTATTACCCGCTGAATAATGAAACCACGCCCTCCAGCGTATCAACAGTCAACATTGCTTGAAGATGGGTGATATTCCAGAAAATGTTGACAGCGCACAATTTATGTGCATAAGGTTCACTGCAATATATGTATTTGTTTAAAACATTCAGTATAATATAATAAATATTGCATGTACGAGTAGTTGAGTGGTAACATTAAAAATTTTCACCCCTGGAAAATAATTTTCAACCTCGGCTGCGCTTTGGTTTACAATGGTTTTCTTGGGGTGAAAATTTTCAATGCTACATTTAAGTACAATCATGTACATGCAATATTTATAAAGTATTTTCTGTTGTGGCTAAGCGGCTAGGTGCTACAGTAACAGTCTGAAACAGCAGCATGCAATTTCATGTTTACATACATCTACAGTGTGTTTGTTCATTATTTTTCATGTAAAATAAAAGGAATAATGAACTTTTGTTTCTCTTTGCTGAAGTACAATGTACGAGAATGAAACCAGAATCATATTAAGAAAGCAATTTGAATGCGTCCATAGAGATTGAAGCTTCGGTGTAAATGTAAACAGAACTTTGCTTTTAATCAAATCAGACCGATTTTGAAAATCAGTGTCACTTATTAATTTCAATTACTAAATTCTCTCTTTTAAAAGAAACATTTGAACTAAATTTTATGCATTTTTATACGCAGAACACTTAACTTTGTTTACATAACAATTATCTTACATGGTAATAGATGATACGTATATGTTTAAATTAAAAAATATACGCCCTGAACTAAAGATGGCAAAAAAAATGAGAATTCCACAATTTTCCTGATTGGCTGCTATTTATATCCCAGAACCGGGATTTAAGATTTAAGTTGTTGCAGGCAGTGCTGAGAAACAACAGAATTGTTAGTTGAACCACTCCGTCTGCAGCTGTAGCGATAATTTTTATAGTGTTAGATTGGCATAATTGTTTTAATACTAGTTGATATGTTATAAATCGTAATGTTTTGTTTGTCAGTATCCAGACAGGACCAAATTGAGAAGGTCAAGATCTTTTTTGAAGTTTACGTTTATAGTTAATACATTTTGACTTCATATACCGAACCATAATTGTACTGTTTTAT